GTCCCTAAGACAGTCCTAGCACTAGGCACATTTAACAAAACCACATCATGAGATCTCAGGCAATAGCTACTTTCAATTTGTCGTGTGATCAGAGAGCAGATGTAAGATGGGAGTTTACCTAACATGGCTTTGTAGATGAACATGTACCAGTGACTGAGCCTCCGTACAGTTAGTGAAGGCCAACCTTATCTGGCATACAGGGTACAGTGATGAGTAAGTGCTTTACAGTTAGTCACACATCTCAGAGCACTGTGATAGGCGGCATCTAACTTGATCAGGCAATGGGCAAGTGCATTCATATAGACCAGCACAGGTCAAAAGGTCACAGTGCTAGCCTTTTCCTTGCCTCAAGTGAGAAACAGGACTTGTTTCTGAAAAAGAAACCTAGCTTCACCCTCAGCTTTCTAAGCAGATTATAGACCTGAAGTTTAAAAGAGAGACAATCAACAAGCCAGATACCAAGGTATTTATAACAGGCAACCACTTCAAGTACTTGTCCTTGCGTTAGTAACAATACCCAAAGTGGTCTCCGGTGTCTTTTTGGCTTGAATGCCATCATATGCCACACCGGCTATTTGAGTACATTTACTGAATCCAGAATCGATTTTGAATTAGGGATTATTTTGTAACGTTTATCGAATCAAATTGAACCATTGTGTACAGACATATTCACACCCCTAACAAACCTCTGGTATAAAACCCAAAGTCTGATTGTTCTGGAGACTGCATTCACATATGCAATGACCTATAAACCCAGCAGTGGTGTTATCATTAGTAAAACAACTACTTTTATTTATGATAACATGTTTCTTTTTTACATAAATGATCCATGATTTGTACCACTACAGAAACATCTGAAACAACACTTTGTTTATTCAGAAACCTGCTCTTGAGCTAAAAGGCATTCATCTGCGACCAGATAAACAAGTGGGAAGATGCTAATGACTTCCAGATAACGCTTCAGATCATGCAAATGAGGCAGCAGGATGGATGGCTTCTGGCTTTGTCGCTGTCACACGAGTCACGGCTGCATGTGTGGCTTGTTGCCCTGTGATATATGTGTGTACCACTTCTGCTGTTTAATGTGGCCGTGTCTCCGCCACACAATTCAGCTGCTGGTTAATTGGCCTGCTGCTCTACGAGGAAGCGTGTCAGAAACTAAATCTATAACTCTGTTTCTGGGTGTAGCGGTGTACTCCGGGCAGACACAACAATCCACGGGCCCGACGTCCCAACTCCTCGTAATGCACCAGAGTGGAATTCCACTGACCCCATTAGAGCGGCCGTTGTTTCCACAGACGGACCACATTCCTGGGCCTGCCATCGACCCCAGATAAGACCCGTCCGATTGCTCCGTTGCATCCCTGTCATTACTTCGAAAAATATGTTGATCCCGACTGACAACTGTCCTTTAGAGGATTTATGGCTGTGCTATTGATTCCCCAAGCCCCTCAAAAGGAGCGATTGTTTTTTAGTTTTTTTTAAAGTTAGGGTTTTTATGCCACCGGTGCCTTTGTTAAAGAGACAGATTTCAAAGGGGGTGAGCAAGTAAATAGTCGATATAATAATCAAACCCGGGTATGCCAAGTAACTCTACAAGTTTGAATGCAACTCTACCAGGTAAGATATCAAGCAGCCTGTAGCAATTCCTTTTAAAGAGGCCCTATTGACATCACTTTGTAATACTCGCACTTCTATTGGCTAGCGCTCCAACACATTGTACGTGATAGGCTAAGGGGCGGGACATCTCTAAAGCGGAGGACCAATCACAACAGCGCCAGCCAGCTAACCAATCAGAGCAGCCTGATCTCTGGTTTCAGACAGAGGGTAAAAAGAGGTGCTGCAGCACAGGCAGTAGAGACACAAAATGCAGATATGACACACCGAAAATTAGCAGAATAAAACCTCTTTAAAGTTACCCTCACTTTGAAATATACAGCCGGCATCTATTGGTTGCCATGTCTCCCACAAACAAAGTACTCAAGCTTAACTCCATGAAAAGATTCAAAAGAGAGTTTTATGTGCAGTCTCAGATGTTAAAACAGCACTGGTGCGAACACTTAGGAGGTAGCTCCGATTTCAAATCTTTATTGCAAATTAACAAGCAGTGGATTTTAAAATGTGGTTAGGTTTTACTGCGTAATTTGTCCATAAAAAAAAGACTAAACAACCAAACACTTTAAGATATACTGCAAACAAAAACATCGACAAAGTGGAACTTTTTTTATACCTCCGACTTTAAAGCTTTCTCACTCTGCGGGCCTTTTGCATGCCAGCTGCTCGACACTTGACTCACTCCTGCTCTGGAAACATGTGGTTGTAATCCCCTCTTTTCACTCAAATTACAAACTGTGTCAGTTTCTGAGGAAACTTCACATCCAGCCACTTTGTAGCATATGTGTTAATTGCCACTCATTTGTGAGTTTCCAGGCAAAGTAGACAGGCATTTGAAGCTGTCCATCCTTGTTGAGGGTTATGAGAAGGGTCGGAGATTAGGGGAACCAAGGCTTGGCTTTTGCGATGTAATTCAGTACGAGCCACATGCTGAACGCTTGTAGAGGCAACATAGAAAAGTATAAAACATATGAAAGGCTCTGTTTAATAAAACAAAGACTTAAAGTCTGACCTGCCAATTATGATTTTCTTTCTTAGAACTATTATTGGCAGCATAAAACAATTTTTTCTTAAAGGTGGCCTATCATGCAAAATGCACTTTTGTACGTCTTTTATACATGAATATGTGTCCCCGGTGTTCCAGGGAACTCACCAAGTGTCAG